AAAATGACAACAGGAGACAACAAGCTGAATATTTTGTCATTGATATGACACTTCAAATTCTCCTCCTTATTCATCAGTCTAGCACTCAATTAAATTACATGCTATCAAAATTTTTTGTTGTGAGAAAAAATGCATAAATAAAAAATATGATGTGAGTTTTAGATATTATCAGTATTTTACATTATTCTGCAATGTACGACTTTCTTTTTTTTTTCTTTTTTGCATTCCTGCTTATTAAAAAAATGTCAAGCAGATTGATGAATGGAAAATACAAGATTGAAACGTTCTGTTGATTGAAACATCAATACAGATTGTTTGTCATTTACACTGGCTTTATTCAAATGGCATTGCTGGGTGGGAGGATTCCAGTGAAGAACTTTCTGAGGGAAAGTTGTCAAAACCAGTCAGCCTCTTGTAACAAGGTAGTAGTTGCATCAAAACAATGAATAACCCCTGCACCTTCTACAAATTCAGCTAAGTTCTGAGAAATTTAATTCATGTCTTTCCCTGCATCATTCCAGGCACTGATGTTGCTCTCGCGTGTTCAGTCTGGCTTTCTGAGATAGCAGGACTCAAATGGATCTGCCAGAGCCACAGTCACTCCCTGTGCAAGGAGGGGAAGCTGCTTTAGACAGTATCACACATCTGGGGTGGGAATATTTATAGTTTCACAAAAAAATATGAAAGCAGTGAATGTGGCTGTGGTGTCAGTGTGTGTCATGATTACAATTTCATATTGTTGAGTCTGTAGTAAAATGATAAATCTGTTACACTAATGTGCTGCAAATTGTGAATGTGATATACATAGTATGTAAAATCCATATTTGGGGTTAAGACCTATTGCCTCAGAACACTTTGTAATTCCTCTGCTTTATAACTGGTTTTTCTCACAATACTCCCTGTCAGGTATCTAAAACTGCTGCAGGACTGGTTTGTTTGACTGATTTGATTGTTGAATCCACTTTCAAATATTTTTTATTTTGTCCTCCCCCAATTCAAACAAGAAGTTCTGTGCTCTCCTCCAGTAACATCTGCAGTCTTTAGCTCCTTGATTCCAAGTCCTCAGCTGACACTTTTCTCAGAGTCCTCTTTCCACACCTCCTCTTTTGTGGATCTTGACACTGATGTTCTTCCTATTGTTGTCCCAACTCCCATCTGCATCCCAGTGCTGTTTGTTCTTAAACCTGTTTAACTTGTCTTTGTTTTGTGTGTGTAAGCAATCCTAGGATAATAATTCAATGCCTTCCAACATTGCATTAGCCTACCCCTGGATAAAATAATCAAAGATTGCTTCTCTGTCTCAGAGACTTCTCTGACCTCCTCTCATTTATTCATTCCTGTTCTCATTTTGAGGATGAGGAATTCATCTTTCTCAGTACCCTGAGAACGACATGAATTTTTATAATCTAAGTAATAGTCCTTTTGTCTTTTCTCTTTGTCTAGAGACAAACATTACAGTAGTTCAGAAATCTCCCAGTATTATTTTTCAAAGTCGATTTTGTAGTCCTCTTTGAAACAAAAGCAGTTTTTTGTGTTTGTAGGGAGCTTTACCACAGACAAGTTTTTCTGGACTCAAATCGTACCTTGATATAAAGGATGATATCTGCTCTTTGCAGTTAAAATGAAAGTAACATCAACCAATGTCATCTATAGCCTACTATTTCTTCAAGCAACCATAACAACAGCTGAGACATTTTTGATGTTCAGGTCCTCCAAAGACAAACACTGTGCTGACTGAAAGTCTCACTGTATAGACTGTCACGATCCAGCTTGTGATACACAAACAGCTTCAATGATACATTAAACTTGCAGTCAAAATAGGATGACTTTTATCAAGTGCTGTCACACTAAAAAAAGATTATTTGATCAGTGTTCAGATCCAGATTTAAGACTTTTGCTTGAGCTAATCAAGTGATGGATGGAGCCGGTTTCATTTTTGAAATTTAGGAAGGGTGTTGAGTGATACAGACTGAGTCAGTGGGGAGCTATCAGCCTAAGAGACTAAATTTATTGATGATATGATATGTCTCCTGATATACAGCAGCCTGTTTGAAGAAAAATGCTACTTATTCTGGTGTATTTAGTGAATCCTGCCATTCCTGTGCTACCACGTGGAAGAGCCGGTTTTGTGTTAAGGCACATCGAGTCATTCAAGGACCACACTGAGTAGTTTAAAAACTCATAAGCATTATCCAGTGAAAAATACTGAAGTCTATTTAAATCCCCAGGTAAATGCATATGCATACATGTCACAGTTACTTTAACCTAGAAGTTTATAGGAGCATAGGGTGTGAGGAAAAAGGAAATACAGTAGGAATTTTTTTGGAGGGCAAATATGTTGTGAGAAAATGTAGGAGAATTAGTAGTTGCATTTAAAAATAAGTGTGAAAATAAGTTGTGTTGAAGGATATGAATCTAAGGAGCATTAAAGCCATAATGAGAGACCATGAATCTCTAGAAATCCTTACAGAAGAGCTTCTGGAAAGTCTGGACTGCCAAAGGATTACCCACAGGAAACTAAGGGTACTGTTTAAAGCTCAGTAGCTCCATTTGTTATTCCATTCAAATGTAAGTTTTCCATAAAAGTGTTCTAGTTTTTGATTTATCCAGAAAGAGAAATTTCTGGCTAACTTATACCTGGCCAAATATGCCATCTGAAAGCCAGCTTTACCTCCTTATTTATTTAAAAATGCCATTGTCTGCAACAATCTAGAAACTACTACTTACTTGAGAGAGTTCTGCATATAGTAAGATCCTGTAACATCAGGCTGCCCTTGGTTTACTTCTTTAGATTATAGGATATTCCTTCCATGTGGAGGTGTCAGCTCCTTGACAATAAGAAAATGATAAAGGTAAGGGAATCTAGGTCATTCATGTGCTTGAAACTAAAGAGAATGGGCTATCCAGCTAGTCATCATTAGCAAGCTGAAGAAAAGAAAACATAAATTTTTAAAATGCTGTGATATCTAAGAGCTTAAAAGTGTTGTATCGTTTAGGCTTATAATGCAAAACCAGGGTATAACCAATGGATGCAGATGAATATAATTGATTTGGTGTCAGGTGCTCATCTGCAGCTGAGACTAAACATTCAGTTAAAATAAAAAGAAGCTGGTAATTCTTCACACTTCTGAAAGGCTATCCAAAAAGACTGTTAAGGCACCTGGAAATTTTCACACAGAAAAAATATGTGCCAACACTATGAAGCACTGTTCTATTCATTGAGGACCTAAACATGAGGCCTAACACAGAAATAGTCACAAATTTCAGTAGAGGAAACGAGAAAATATTGTGAAGAACTACAGAAAGACTAGACTGAAGTATGTGAATGAGCATCACTGGGGTTCCTGGAACTCCAAGTCAACCTGCTGGGATGAACACAGAAATGAATGGTTCCCTTTTTTAAATTGAAAGTTAGCTGTAACACCTCAGGAGAAATATCTGGCTGTGGCTTATTGTATATATTGTGGAGAGTTTATTAAACACTTTCACTATTAAACAAACTGAACAACAATGGACAGTTGGGCTGGAACAATCAAAATGCCCTTCTATGCTTTATCAACCTGAACACTGTGTTTGTTTCTCATCCCCTCATCCAAATAAAGCACAAACATAATTTGAGAGGCAGAGGGAAAAAAAGCGATTAAAGAGTCTTCTTTTGGATTTGAAAATTATTGGCACAGTTAGTGTTGAATGGAGGAAGTGAAATGGCAGACTCACAGTGTCACCCCTGGTTTCCCACAAGCCCCAAAGAGATGGGCATTCTCAGGGAAAGAAAAATTTGCCATCTTAAGATTTTTAATTTTAAGACTTTTTGTCTCCTTCCCAATCTGACTAACATACTTCTTCATTACATTGGTTTTCTGTGTATTAGAATGGCTCCTTTGTATTCATTCTAAAAAACTTGTTGCTCTGCAGCCTCGTTGGCAGGGTGATTGGCTCTTTACTGTCAAACAGTTCTAGAGTGGTAGTTTATTCAAGGGCAACAGTGAAATGCTATTTAGTTCAGTACCCAGCTTAGAAGTTTATTTTCAGGTTTCGGTACAATTTAGGAAATAAATGTAAGGTGTTATTCTACTTCAATTTGGAAATGGTGCCACCCTGGAACCGAGGGATTGCTTAGGGTCTGAGCAAAAGGAAATACAGGTGAGATTTTTTTGGAGGGGGAAATATTTTGTGAGAGAATGTAGGAGAATTAATAGTTGCATTTAAAATCCATGTTGTTGGATACAAATAAGTTGAAGGATATGAATCTAAGGAGCATAAAAGCTGTAATGAGATCCTCTGGACCTCTAGAGAACCGTACAGAAGATTTTCTGGAAAGCTTGGAGTGCCAAAGGATTACCCACAGGAAAGCAGGGGCACTGTTTTGAAGCTCAGTAGCTCCATTTGTTATTCCCTTGAAATGTAAATTTTCATTCATAAATGTTCACAGGAAAACTGAGCTAGTTGAGCAAAGTCTTGATTTGAGTAACATTCTGTATATTTTGTGTATTTACAAACAGATGAATTCAGAGTTTTGCTGGGTTATACACACCCAATACACACACCCAATCTAGGAGAGATTCTTTTGTGACATCCCCTTCTATCTGTCTTCTTTGTCTTAAGTCAGTGAGATATTTTAATTTGAGAGGAAAATTATGACACTGAGTTTGTAATTACTTGGACATGGGTTATGTATATCTGGGTTTTGCCTTAAATATATTCCAAAAATATTTGTTATTTGGAGGGAGCAGGCTGTTCTTTGATCCTTTTTAAGGGAGAATACACTGGAGTGAATGACGAACATTCAGCTAATCCAGCACCAAAAAAAAAAAAACAAAAAGATTGGAAATAATTCTTAGAGAGTAAGGGAATTCTGTTATTGTGTTTGTGGTATAAATGGGGATTTTGAAAATACATAACATATTTAACCACTGTGAATAATCTGCACATAACAAATGAAATTATAAAAGCTCCATAATATGTTCATAATCTTAATGTGTTTCTTTGCTGTTTTGCAGGCAGACCAGTAATGATTGTAGTTGAATACATGGAGAATGGATCCCTTGACTCCTTTCTGCGGGTGAGGTGCCATTTTCTGATGACATTTGAATAAGACACCATTCTAGGTTAAGATTTAAATCATTTATCACAAATTAATTTCTACATAATGTTATTCATGGATTTTTAGTGAAGAATAGAAGCTTTCTCCCCAGGGTACATTTCTGAGGTACAGTGATATATTAGAGCATGGCTGGGAAAGAAGAAGATTTAAACTTAGGAATATAATTGATTTCTTCTACAAAAGTAGTCCCTGACTTTAGCAAAATGTATTTCAAAAAGTGTTTTTGTGAAAGAAAAGATAAATTGAAGGATAAATGCCTGGTCTTATGGAGGTGGTTCATTTTTCTCAATCACCTTCAAAAATACTCTGTTATGATTTTTTTGGTTGGTGCAGTGTAGAATACACTCAGTAATTGATTTATAATTATTCATGGTTACTTGCATTTAACAAATTGAATTAGAAAACAGTTCATGGGTTAAATGTCCTGGTATTAATTAGCCCCCAAAGGTCACTAATAAACATTAAAGAAGGGCTACAGAAAATGTGAGTAATATGTTGGCACAATTATATTTAATTTTTCCTAGAAAAATAGAAGGAAAGGATGACCTCCCCTTTAAGCTAAACTTATCCTAAAGTGGTCTCTTTTTTTAACAGAACCCCTGGAAATGCTCCAGAGACCCACTGTCATAAGACCTTGTGGGAATAATTTTGAAGTCAAGTATTTCAGACTTGTCATGAAAAGTAAACACCAGCCCTCACTTGCCCACTGCCCTGCCATTGCCATCCTGCAGAATGGTAAATTTGGGGTTGTGGGCAAGCTCAAGGTAGGGGATCAGGGGCCTGTGGGTCTGTGAACTTGTTTGAAAGGGTCTTCCAAAGGAGAGACCTTAAACAAGGAGCTGTGGAAACACCTGCGTGAAAATCTAAGTGGTGGCGATAGAAGGATGATTTGGGAGCAGGAAGAAGGAATTGGTAAGAGAAAAGAGTGAGTAAGCAGGAGGGGAAAACAGCCAACATTTTATGAAGACACACCAGAGAGAGGGAGAGAAAGTCATACAGACAGTACTTGTTTGACAGCTGGTTGAGTAAAGGGGTAGCAACAAGAGAAGAGCATCTGGAACAGAGGAGACCACCCTGAAAGTACATCAGAGCCATTATTTCTAGACACTGGTTCTCCCTTCCTTTTTGTTTTGATTATTGCATAGTGGTTTTTCTCTTACATTTCTTGTCCTCTTCACTGGCTCTCCCAAACAGTTTTTTATTTTTAGTTATCAAGACACACAACAGATATCTGTTATGATGTCAGAGACATGCCAGACCACAGGTTTTGGTGAGAATTTGCTGATTTCTCAAAATCAAGTTATTTTTATGGAGCGTTTGATCTCATCCATGTCTTACAAAATGGGTAGTCTTTAAAAATCAGCCCCCTTGCCTTTCTGGCTCATCTCTCTATCCATCTGCAGCAGACAGACTGCCATTGATTTGAGTACCTGCAGCTTCCATGGTCTCTAATTTTTCAGCAGTGCCCCAGAAAGACTTGTCTGGGCCTGAAATATTGCCCCGTGCATTTGTGTGTGTGTGTGTGTGTGCAGAATTTCACAAAGTGAATTAAACCAAGTACTGAAATAATTCATGAAGGAGAATTACCTTTCTCTGAACTGCTCTGGTGTGATATCTATATCCCAGTTTTTCTTCACATGCATCCATTTATCAGAATAGTTACCACTTACTAGGATACTTTAATAGAAACTGAGATCAGCAAAATGATGATGTTACTGTGAAGTTATATTTCTCACATTGCATGGGATATACTTGGAAGCAAATCTGCTGGGGGGAAATGTGAGCTAATAATTTCTGCAGCTGTTTTCCATGTGTATTATTTTACAGTTTCAATTCACAATTCAGATACAGGTTATTCTTCTAAAATGCTTTTAAAATGTACTTTAGATAGTATTCAACATCCCAAAGCACTGTAGATATGTCAGCATTTCTGTTAGTAATTAGCAGAGCAAATGGCTGCAAAGTAACCTATTTAAAAAGAAATCCAGCTGCTTCATTAATAATAGTTGTGTCCTGCAGATATAAGTACACACTTTTAAAAGCTTTTGTGAAGATACAAAGAAACAGAAAGGCTTTATCTTTAGCAATCCTAATGAAAAGCATTCAGTGAATATAACAAATGTTGTGAGATTTGGAAGGGCTTATAAGATAGTCTATCTTTCTTATTATTTAAAGGATCACTTGTAACAGTGCAGTGTTTTTACACAGAGGGCGAAAACAATCCATTTCTCACCAGAAGAAATATTTCCCCACATACCACAACCTGCAAAAATTCACTGGTATATTCACTGCCTTCCTCCAAAAACCTGCAAAAATAGATCAGTCTTACAAATTCAGAGTGAGATTCTGCGATGAACCATGCGAGGATGTTCCACAAGAACTCCATTTGCCATCCCCCTCCTCACAGCCTTGGTGGGATATTTGCTTTCATGACAGTCCAGGTTGCACCATGAATCACAAGCTCCAAGTAAAGCCTCCCTCCCCACCTTGATCCCTAACTGCTGAAACTTTAATAGCTTTTAATTCCCTGGTTTACAGATAGCAGCGCCTACTTTCTGCTATTAGTATGAATTTAACAGCAAGCTCAGCTAAATCATGTCTTCCCCACCTCACAAAATATCTGTATGCTGGCTGCTAACTTTCAGCTTTTGGGTGAAAAAAAATTGGCACAGATTTGCAATATGAAGATGCTTCAGATATATTCTTAGTGGAAAGGCATCAGCTACTTAGAACCAATTCTGTAAGATGATGGCAATTAATTACAGTGATTGTGCATCATCAGACATCCTAAATTGCTGAAGACACTTGACACTGAATTTTCCTCAGAAATACTGCCTTATTTTTACAATTATATAAAACTCATTTCCAAAAGATGAAACTCAGTTATCTTTTCTTTTTTTTTCCCCCTAAAAATATAAGATTGAGGCTTGTGAGTTAATCATCCCACAAAAGTACACCTGAAATTTTCTATCAATAAAATGGTTCTTTGACCAGAAATAAGGTTCATGTGGGTTCATTTCTGGTAACACTCAGAGAGATTTCTCTGAAAAAGGATGTGGGCTTCCAGCTTAGTATTTCCTCAGGGGCTAGAACCTCACTCCTCTTTCAATATTACTCCAACAGCTGCCAGATAGAAGTAATCTGTGCTTGGAAAGAAAGTGGCTAATACTGGGAAATTGAGGAGATCCAGGTACAATTTCTTGTTACCAGTTTCACACACAGACTTTGGATGGGACACATTTTATTCACCTGCCTGTGTCATGGAGATTTTAGCAATCACTTACTCTGCAAGCACATGAGGAGAGTAATAAAGACAAGGAGGGTTGAAAGGGCAGCTATCTGTATTGATAGAAAGATGTGGTTAGTAATTAGGATAGGAGTAGTCAAACAAAAAAAACAAACAAACAAAACCACCACAAAACCTTTATAGTGAGCATTTTGGCAGTTTGCCCCTGCTGTTTGTTGGAATTGTCTGTCCTCTGAGCATGGCCATGACGAGGTAAATCACATGGGGTTTGAGCCACTGCTTGATGATCTTGCAGTCTTCATACATGACACAAATGCAGTCTCTTTTCGTGCAGGAGAAATGGTGATGAGTGCTACATTGGACTGAAACCTATGCAGCACTTCAGAGGGTGATCCAGTAATAGAACCCAGGTCCAAATCCCAGTTTCACTCCCTCTCTGTTTGTGCTGGAACCACAACATTTTCCTCAGCCTTGCCCTGTCAGATGATTGCAATAATTCCTACAAAAGCCCTTTCCCTGAGGTTTTTCTTTTCACCCTGACACATCATCCCCCACTTAGCCCACTCTCTAAATCTATGGCTCACAGATTTATAGAGTTTACTCTATTATGAGTTAAATATCATCTGCTGTTTTCACAGCTCTATTTAAAGGGCCATTCTTGGCTAAAATAATTGGATTTAGCCACTCATGGACAATACAGGGTGATTAGGAGGCCAGGTGGCTTGTGTGCCTGAGGGGGCTACTGCTTGTTGGGTTCAGTTGCCAAGAATGACACTTGGAGAGCTTTATGTTGCCTCTGGTCTGCACTCACCCTCCTTGTGCATCACGAAGTGTGGGCACAGATTTAAACCACAGAAAAGGAACACATCTAGAAAGTGCCTTTTGGGGATGTTTGTGGCTGGCTACATAGCATCACGTAAAATGGACAAAAAAAACCTCTATCACCAGGGTACTGAACTTCTTTCAATATTTTTCTGCAGCTGAAGACCACCAGAAACTGTCAGTGCTTTGTCACTGCTCAGTGTCCAAGCTGTGCTGGCAATAGTCGTGCAGTGAGGTGAGAACCAGGGCCACAGCAATATTAATCAGATGGGAACTTGTGGTATTGCAGCAGGTTCTGTGGCAACCCGACATTAAAATAATCCATCAGGCCTATCCACTGCACTGTACTTGCTCACCTTCTTCATAAGGAAGGGAATTCACTCTCCAGGGATCAGTGTGGGAAAGAAAGCTCCTCAGGTTCTGCAGCATTTTCACTGAATAGACAGATGTTTAGGTTTGAAAGATGCTCCAATCTGGCTCAGTTTTGGGAATCTCAGAGCTGGAGGAGAAAGGTGTAATTTACCTGGTGCAATCACAGGGTTGTCCTGCGTTCTTCATTGTTACTGCTTGCCACCGTAAAGCTCCTTTTCCCGCCTGAAAACTTGTGACTGACACATTTCCATTCACTTCAGAGAACTAAAATACTTGTTAAAAAAAAGTTAATTTACAGTCATGCATAGTAGGTGAAAATCATGTATTTTGTTCTTTCAAAGAGTTTATAAGAAATGTGCTTAGTTCCCTGAGAGCACTAACTGCAGCAGAGTGTACAGCAAACGAAAGCCTGGGATCCAGCCCAAAATTTTAATTCCTCGAGGCAAGTCTAGCAGAGGCTAAGATAAGTGTTACTAGATGGAGAAAATATTATGATATATTGCTGTTTCTTGCAGTA